AATCGTCTCCCTTATTTGCTCCCATTCAGGATCAGATTATTGTTTAGTAAAAATCGCACATTAGGAACGCATGAATTGCTTATTTTGTAAACATTTCTAAAGTTAGAAAGTGTCTGCAGTTTTGAAGTTTACCAAAGTCTTACTAAAACAAAATCACTGCAAGGTCAGTAAGCATAGCCAGAATTAATCCATGTATAAATAAGCAAGTTACCAGTTGGAAAGCAAAATATAAAAAAACACAATAGAGTGGAATGGACTAGGTTTTTCAATTTTCCTAAAAAGGTTTACAAGTAATTGAAGCTGAAATACAATCAGGATAGCTGTTTTCCATGTCATGGTGTCACATAAGGCAACTAATTGGGGGCAATACACCTGTACACCTTGTGGAGATTACAAGGCAGATTGCTTTGGAGGACTGCAACATCAGGTTTGGGGTTTCATAAACAACTCGGAATCTTTATATGTATTCATCTAATAAAATGCCCTGCCCCATAAAAAAAGACGACAAGAGGGGGTAAAAAACTGCAACATGAATGTCCATTTTCGGCAACAAATCAAAGCATCCTTTTTAGACTTGCACCTGCTTTTTAAATAGAATTGGCTGTGATCTCTCTGTCTTTGAAGACAAGTGTGGTTTTCTATTCAGAAAATGGAAATGCAACACCTACTATGACAAACAAACCATACAAAACCATTTTAAAAAGCGATTGTAGATTGAGTTACTTAAATGGTTACAAAAACTAAGAAATAGTTTTATCTCCTAAAAATAAAAAGTTTCTAATGGATTTTAATGTATCAATTCTAGACAGATTTAATTCTTTATACTGAAAAGTAGGGTTTACATTAGTAGATTTCTCAGTGAATATTTTTTCACTAGAGCTTGACAAAAAGGATTCTATATCATAAAAAATCAACTTTAACAGCAATCAAACCCTTCACTAAGTCTGGACCTGGCAAACTTAATCTAATATTTCATTAAACATTTGCTAGCAGACATTACAGAGAGAAGCAGAGATAATATATTTAAAAGAATGGGTAGGGTGGGGGGGATACACTGGTTTCCATAGCAATTATGAGCATTGTCACATGGTTACCTAGGAACTAGTCCTGTCATGTTGTGCTGTGTGTTTGTTTTTTCTTTGGCATTTATTAGGTTCCTCTTTAGAAGACAGCCAAAGCTTTCATATTCCTTTTAATAGCTGACGAATCTTCAGCAAAAGACTGGACAGTGATGCATTAAAGGTCCATTTATTTCCATGTTGTTTTTATTTGCATGACACTATAATTAGAGTCAAACACTCAGTAAGATTTGACACTCACATTAACCTAATATAGACTGATCATTTCATTGTTTAAATATAAATCTCTGGACTTGGAAACCAAGTCCAGTGGATATTTATTTTTATTTATTTTATTTTTTTTTTTTTTACTTTTACGGAATAAATCTCTATTCGAATTTTCTAAAAATTTTGTTGATAAAGATGACCAAAGTCTCAATACATCGGTGCATAAGTTGCCCTTATAGTTTCATGGGTGGTGGGGAACTTTAGTGCTTTGGGAATGGCTTTTATTATCTCCCAGCTTTGGATGTATGCTACAGACAGCATTGGTTCCTGCAAGTGTTGTCCAACTCCAGTGCTATATCAAACCTGAAAAACCTTGTGTCATAATGACACCGAAGAAAACAAGAAGCTATCATTTATCTCTCTTGCTAAGGGCGTAATCATATTTACTAAGGAGGTTCAAAATGCATAGATTTCGGCCAACACCAAGGACAATAATAAAAATTGATTTGGGCTTAGCAAAATACGTACCTTGATAGTTAAATGTCTGATAAACGTTCAAGAATGTTTGGGACCGCCTTTGTTTCTGCTTTTACCATTGATTAACTTCATGGAAACAGGATGACAAAAGTTCACTGGGTCTTAGGGGTGAGTCTTGCGTGATGTGCAATTTACTGATACTGTTCTTAAGTGAAATCCACACAACATCAAGATTTCAGCAAGCATGATCTACATGCTCAAATCATCAAGCATTGTCATAGCCACAGGAAAACACAACTAAAGACATAATCAATGTTACACTTTCACATAAAAACCAGCCTCAGTAGAGACCGTCAAAAATTGCCTTTGCCGACTGACAAAAGTTGACTGGGTTTTGGGGGTGAGTCTTGGGTGATGTGCAATTTAGTGATACTGTTCTTAAGGGAAATCCACACAATGTCAAGATTTCAGCCAGCCAGTTCTACAGGCTCAAAACATCAACCGTTGTCATAACCACATTAAAACACAACTAAGGCTTTAAAGACATAATCAATGTTACACTTTCACATAAATATCAGCCTCCGTAGAGACCGTCAAAAATTGCCTTTGCCGACTGTATTTCAAGTCGTCAAGGCGGGGTATTGGGTAAAGTTTTCAACTAGCAATAATCGTGCCTCGGATAAACCTCATAGGCTACGATACTGCCACTGCGCAAAGCTGCCTCTATGACCTAGGAACCCCTATTCTAGATTCACTCCGTATTGTGTTAACTAATGGTCGTAAACGTTATTTCATTGTGAGCTGGCATCACCTCTGCTCAATAGATGGTCATAACATTACAGTAACTTCTAGACTTAGCGTTGGGGGAGGATAAAACATTAGGAGACACACATGCTGTAGTTTTATCAAGAACAATCAGTTTCCAATTC